ATAGGCTCAAAGTAGGCAGGGGAATTAGCTGTGAGTTTGAGAAAGGACAGGATGTGAGGAGAAAGAATATTTGAAGGCTAACCAGAGGTACAGGGGGAAGGAGAGAAAAGGGTTAAAAACGAACCCACCCACAGGGTTTTAACTTGAGGAACTGGGAAGGATTTTGTATCTTTGGTAACTTGAAGACTGAAATGTATGGATACTGAGAGAAATGGATGAGACGACCCAAAGCATGGCAGACAAGGGGGTTAGAAATGACTAGGGAAGTGGGCGAATGATGGTTTAGAACGGCGATTTTCATGCTTGCTGTCTTGTTAACAATATCCCTCCTCACCCTTTTGCTTTTAAAAGCATATGGATTAAAATGCATTAAAAAGTTTCTGGAAATAAAACATATAAAGCGCAAGCAATTCAATGCAGTGTGAGTGAAAAGTGTCTTCTACCCTGGACTCCTTCCCCTTGCTACTCAGCAATACCCATTATTCTGTGTGCGTGTGTGTGGTCTATTTCAGAATCTTATTTTTAGTCACTTATTTGCCTATATAAGCATATATGCCTGTCTTATCATTTTGCCAGTGACAACATACAGCATTCATCTGGTTTTGTACTTTTTAAAATCACTGTAATTTTAGAAATCTTTTCTCATCACTACATTTTAACTGCTGCCTAATGTTCCATGATATAGTGTACATCATGGATGACAGAAATATATTTAGTGTTTATAGATAAGGTTCCAATTAAGATCATTGGACACATGTTTTTGTGCACACATGCAAGTCTCTCAGTGGGGAAATTCTTAGTGGAATTGCTTAGACAAGGTATAAGCATTTACAATTTTTGATAGGACTTACAAACTTTCTCTGCAAATAAGCTGTACCAATCTACATCATCACAAAAAAAGTCTGAAAGTACCTAGTTCCCCACATTCTTGCCAAATGTATTAACATAATTTTTGAGCTTTGAGAAGCAGGTGAAAAATGGTATCTCACTGAAGTTTGATGTGCGTATAGAAGGGTTTTCAAATTTATTTTCAGCCGAATATTGTCCATACAGGTTTTATCTTTAGCTCCTGTTAATGAAGCCTTCGAATCTCCTTTACTTTGTTAGCTGCTAGTTTTGGATCACAGCACTATTTAAGTGTTATGGTATGAGATTACAGCTAGAGGGGAATTATTTGACCCAAATACCAGTATGAAAAACAGGAACTGATTTATAGTGCTTTTTAATTTTAATTTTTAAAAATCTGTGGAAGAACATGACGTAGTGCTTGTTATATGTAACTAAATTTTGCAGGCAAGCATTATTTTCCTCCTAGTTAGGATGCTTCAGAAGTTGAGGGAAGAGAGGAGCCTCAATTCCAGCATGTGGGGCCACACAACAGGCCTTAATGCGGATCAAAAAAGTCCAGTCATTGCTTGGCAGGACGTTCAATCTCTCTGCTCATCTGCAAATTGAGGGTTTCCGTTAAAGACAGTTGCTATGGTCCCTTGCTGTTCTTAATTCTATACAGCTACACCGTTGTTTAATTGCTGGGCTGGAGAAGCTACCACTGCTGACAGTGCTGTGGAAATACAAAACTTTGCACAGCTAGAGACTTCTCCCAAATACAAAATAAAGTGGGCAGCATTCCAAAACCTAAAAGGGATGCTGCGCTCCAGTTCTGTGGTCCCTTCCCCTGACTGTTTAGAACTCTTGTTATCACAGTCGTAAACGTGCTCTAAGACAGCTTCCAACAATCCCATGTTAATTTTTCCCCCCATCTGCCTTGAAAACAAGATAGAAGAAACGTGCCTGAGCTGTGGCAGGTGAATGTTACAATCCTACTCCCCGGACCTGTCGACGACTCGCTTTAACCCTCCGCCGGCGCCCACCACGTGGGTACTGGGTGCTGGAGCGGCTCGGCACCAGCCGTCGGGATTTCCCCGTGCTGGGTCCGGGATGGGGGAAACTGCACAGTAGCTGCGGGGCGGAGGCAGGGCGCCGACCCTAGCAGGGCGGGTGCTCCCTTGCTGCCATCTCTTGAATTCAATTCCTGTCCAGCGTCAGGGAAAGGGACCCCTGCTATGCGGTCTGCCCTGGCGCCACTGGGCAAGAACGTGTTGTGCGTGTGGAAAAGCAGAAGCAAAAAAGCAGCATCCGAGTGGTTGTTCACCAGTAAGGGAGTATCGACTTCACCCTGTGAATCGGCCGGAAGAGGAGGCGGAGGAGAGCAGGGCGGGGACAAGGACTCATTAGGGGAACCCGCGGCCCAAGCTGGGGTGGGGGCGGGGTCCCGTCCCGGGTGCCCCCCGCAGCGTGGGCTTCTGTCGTGTTCGGTGGGACGGCACACCGCCTGTTAACTTGCCTAGAGTTGGGATATGTGGCTTGTCTGTGATGCTTGGTACCTTTATTTACCGAAGAGCAGGGAGAGCAAAATGAAGCAAAGGGAGCTGCCGGGGCCAGAGGGCCAGGGTTGCACAGTGCCGCTCAGCCTCACGCCGGCCCCTCTCCAGCCCGCCCCAACGCTGCCCTCACTTTCGCCCCTCAGGGGCCTCCCCACAGGGCGTGACGGGATTGTGCCCATCCTGTGGTGGGAGTGCGGGGCAGAGTCGGCGAGACCCCACCACACGCGACTCCTTGCCCTGCTGCTCTCTCGCCTGGGGGCGCCCCCGCGGACTGTTGCCCCTCCTCCTTTGTGCGGAGGGCCCTGTTGCCCGGGTGACGGCCCCGCCCCACCTCCGCCCCGCCCCTCCACAAAGCCCAGCCTTGGTCTCCACTCCGCCACCCGCCCAGCCGCAGTCCGCAGTAGCCGCCGCCGCAGCGGGCCGCTGGCTGAGTTTCCGGGGCGTCGCAGGGAGCGAAGCTCCTCTCTGCGCTTGTGCTTTCATTCGCCCTGGCCTCTGGCCGCGTCGGTCCGCTGGCCGGTCCGACTGACCAGCTCACCCTCCGGCTCCCAATCCAGGCTCCACGGCCGCTGCAGGGACGCACCCACCAGACCCTGCCAGGCTCTCGTCTGCCGTTTGGACCCTGCTGTTGATGACACCTGCAGGGAGGCTACATGGAGGGTGATGGTTCAGACTCGCTGGTGAGCGGGGCAGAGGAGCGACCGCTCCGCGCCTCGATGGCGGCGCGCCGGGTGCCTAGGGCTCTCTTCCCCCAGCGCTCAGCGGGGAGGGAACCACTCCTCCCGAGGAGCAAAGAGGTGTCCTCGCTTCCTCTTCGCCTTTTCCGTCTCGGGCCGGGTTCTGCAACCCGGTGCGCCCCCTTTTTCCCCTCAGAGGACACCGAGTCAGCTGGCTCTGGAAGAGAGCACAGCTTGGGTGCGGTTGTCCCCCGTCTGGGAACCTGGGGGAGTCTGGGCGGGGCTCTTTAATGGGGTTCAGGTTGTAGAATTATTTCGCTTTAGAGAGTCTGGTGCCCATCGCTGCGCGGGGCGCGTTTCTCGTCGCCCTTTGTCTGGGAGCGTGGTGGGGTCGGGCGTTCGAGTTCCATTCGCACCCCTGCGGGCTCGCTCTGGCAGCTGTTCGGCTACGAGTGATTTTGCTTGAAGGGGGATAGTCAATTCTTAAGAACTTGTTGGTTTCCTGTCGAACCTCATTCATTTTAAAACGGCTTAATTGTGGAACCACCACATCACATTTCTCTTAATCAGATTGTTTTCCCTCCATGAATGTAAAATGAACACTAATTTACCTTTTAGGTAAACATTATTTTATATCTATCATGCTTAAAAAGCATGTGTACTGCTTCATGTACAAGAAAAATGGAAACTAATTTAGCTCTTCCAGTGGGAGGTAAACCTATAAAATGGGGTGTGAGAATCTATCTTGAACATTCAGGACAATATTTTCTTTTGAATTAAGTGTCAGTTTTCTTGTACAATGAGATAGGATGTAAATGGTCTGTATAATTTAATGTGAATTGTGAGGTGTGACTGTTTTCCAAATTTACTAAAATTGTGCTATGTTGTCGGCTTTCATTAAGTATTGAATGATGCAGCAAGAAACACTGCAAAGACCCATTGAGCCAGCTGGCTGTAGTGCTGTTATCAGGGGTTATTAAAGTGCTTTGTGTTGCTTTAGGGGAAATAGAATAGTATACATTTTTATTTACTTAAAGTAAGTGACTTAATTTAATTTTAATATTCCGTGTGTTTCCAGTAGAAATAATTGTACAAGGTTATGAATACTTTAAAGTTGGACTGTCACTAAAATTGCTGGGATTCATGGCCCTTGAAGATTGATATAAATGGGGAAAAACAGCATGGAAAAGTTGGTAGGAGGTTATCAAACCTTTTTAGCTGTGGTAAGAGTGTGTTTGTCATTGAAATTAATAAAGGTTATAGTATCGAAAGCACTTATAATGGTCCCTTCTAATCCTCTACACTCTTTCAATATTTATAAAGTGCTATTAAGATAACTGCTTTGATATTGCAGCACAAGACCCTCAAGCATTTTACCTTCATTACAGTTGCAGCATATGAAAAATGGTTACATCTAATGTAGCAAATTGCTGATAATTCAGCTTGTCAATAGATTTCAAGTAGGGTTCCATGAACACACTGGCTAACCTAGTTTTGAGCAGCTCTTGTTATTTGCTGCTCACAAAGTTAATGGGCTAAATAGGAAAACCGTCTTATTCTTGGTGCTGTATTCTTAATTTGTATCGAAGTAGTCAGTCTGCTTTTAGGAATTCCCTGAAGTCAGTAAATTCATGATGGTTTGAATAACTTCATAATTGTTGAATTATTACGGTCCCCTAATATTTTCTGCCAATTTTTCCCATACTTCAATTTTTACTGTATCATGGCACCTCAGTTCTAGGCTATTGGGTGCTGTGAGGGGGAGTGATAGTGTAGTATTTCATAGCCAAAAAGGAACTTAAGATTTCAAAAAAGAAATCTGTTTCTTAATTCTTCTGGAAAGGTAAACACTGTGCTTCTACAAGAGGTCTAAGCATATTAATATATTTACCCACTAAGAGTCTCTGAGTCTGATTTCTTTTTCTTGTTTCAATTTAAGGTTACCATTAAGAATATCGAAAGAGAGCTCATTTGCCCAGCATGCAAGGAGCTGTTTACCCATCCATTGATTCTCCCTTGTCAACACAGTATCTGTCATAAGTGTGTGAAAGAGCTCTTACTGACACTTGATGATTCATTCAATGACGTGGGATCAGACAACTCCAATCAGAGCAGTCCTCGACTTTGGCTCCACTCCCCCAGCCTGGATAAAGTCGACAGGATTAACAGACCAGGTATGTGGTAGAACACTGGGGTCAGGGAGCTTCACTCATAACTGTGGAAAGGAAATTCCTTTTATCATTTTCAGGGTTAATCTTTCCAGGTGAATGTATTAAAATTGTAGTTATATAGAGGCCCCTCCCCTTTTAAAATGTCAAAACAAACTTACTGACTTTTGGTATACACTTAAACTTGGGTATTGAACACCAACTTGTGTTAAACCCCTTATTAACTATGTGTTTTAGGGGAGGTGCTTTTGCCCTGTATCCTTTATGATATCCTTTCCATGAGGGATGAGTGATGCATTACTGAAGTACTTACTAGGGAAACATCTATATATAGTAATATGTAAATAAATATGCAGAATAAGGGATGAGACTACATCATGACTACTAAGGATTTTTTTAGAGGAATTCTGTGGTATCATTTTATTCTACCTGAGAATTTTATTTTCTTCAGCCATTTGTAATCCATTTTTATAAAATAAGGATTTTGAACATCAATTAAATAGTAGTGGAATTCCGTAGTTGTGATAGAAGTAGATCTAATGAAATGTAACGCACAAATACTGTACCTTTATTATACAGCCAGTGTTTGAATTGTTTTCTGTTGGGATAGTGTTACTTTTTCTGGACATCCATATAGTAGGATTAATATAGATCTAAGTTAATTTGAAATCACTGGGAATAGGGCCACTGAAAAATTAAGGAGTGCGTGAGGACCAAAATCAGCAGTGAGGACCAAGGGGAGGCCTAGGTGGGGCAGAAATGCCACAGTGTCATGTTGGGCACTGCTTCAGTGGCCATGAGCACTGCCTCAGGGCCTCAGCTCTGTCCAATTTGGGCTTTGAGGCTCTCAGTTTAATCCTTTCTGCCACTCTGTCCATTTCCTCCCTGTATAGTATAGGAGTAACTTTTTAATCTTGGTTAAAAAAAAACTTACCAGGAAAGAATCTCTCCATATTTACATTTTAGAGAATGCCACTTTTTTTGTCCACGCTGTGATATGGAATCTCCTTGGGGGATATCTGTGTCTTTGAGCTCCATCAGAGAGTGGATAAGAGTAGATTTGTTGTAAGACTAGTATTATACTATTTTAAAAACACGGGTTTTTTTTAAGTGGTAATAACTAATTACTTGGAAGATATTCTGCAGATATAAAAATCACACATACACAGTCATGGGCTGCCTAATGACGGGGGTACATTCTGAAATCCCTCATCAGGCAATTTGGTGCTCGTGTGAACAGGTAGGGTGCACGTACACAAGCCTATTACACACCTGGGCTATATGGTAGAGCTCATTACTCCTAGGCTGCAGGCCTGTACCGCATATTACTGTATAAAACAGCACAAGATTAAATCAAGTACAGGAGAAAATGTTGCAGTCAAGAGACATGGAATACACGAGGCGTATGCGGCTACTGCCAATAAAACACGGCATGCTGTTTCACAGAAGACTTTTTTTGTAAGCAAAAAGATTAAACTCTAAAATGACAGTAAAAAGTATAGTACAATAAATACATAAATGAGCAACATAGTTGTTTATATTATTATCAAGTATCGTGTCCTGTACGTAATTGTATGTGCTGTACTTTTACATGACTGATAGTGCAGTAGATTTGGTGACATCAGCATTGTCACAAACACGTAATGCGTTGCGCCACAATATTAGGGCGACTATGACATCATGAGGCAATATATATTTATAATGGTGCTGTAGGACCACTGTCATACACATGGTCTGTCCTTGACCGTAATGTCATTACCAAAGCAGGAGCACTGGGTAACTTGCGGGAGTGCAGTGAGTATGAGGTGGGAGAGGGTTATGCTCATTATGAAGTCATCAGTTTTATGTTTCTCTCCCTGCCAGCAAGTTGGCACATGGGGAAGAAACACAGTAACAGCTTGAAATCATCCTACCAGATAAAACTTGATATTCTAGATCTTCATTGGCAATTAGGGACCCCTGCTTGATTGACCAAGGAAAATTCACTTTTTTATATTAATATTTAGCACAGACCATTGAAAGGAATTGTACTTGTGTACTAGTATTTCTAATTATAATTAGATTTCTAAATAAAATTCTGTATTTAAGGTAGGCTTCTAATCTTAAGATTTGTTCAGTTTTATATGTGATTAATATGAAGTAGGAATGCAATATAGATGAAATATAATTAACTGTCTCTGTTTTCAGGAACTTACTGACACGTACTAAGTAGGTGTTTAATAAGTACGTGTTGAGCAGATTTTAAATGACAGACCTGCTGCAGGGTTCATTTAAAGCATGCCGTAATGGCTTACATTCAGAACTAAAGGGCATATTTTCCAGAACAGGCGATCTAGTCCCTCACACTTTGTTCTGTCTAGATCAAAAGTAAAATTACTGAATGTTCCCCCTTCTCCTTTAGGAAGAACTCGATTAATTAGGTTATGTCCTGAGGGAGGAAGTTAAAAAACTTTACTGTGAACCACAGTTATGGGAAATAAGAATATTTAACTTGGAGAAGGGACCATTGCAGAATATGACGCCTGTTTTGTGGAAAAGAATAGTATACTAGGTGTCTTCCCAGCAAAGGTTCCAGATCAATGGACAGATGAAATAGGAAGGCAGATTACAGTTTGACAGGAGAAAGGACAAACACCTAAGGCTGTCTGAAAATGAAACGGGCTGCCTAGTTTTGTTGGGTCACTGTCACTACAAGTGTTTAAATCAGAGGTCAAATTTAGATGCTTTAGGGGCGAAATAGGTACATTAATGAAATAGGCCCCAGAAAAATAAATACAGGACTCTTTTATTTTGCTTCTTTGATACAGGTGTAGGAAAATAAATATTTCATTTTCTCATTAATTCAGCTGCTATAGAAAACCAGCAGCTCAAGTGTCAGCAGCCAGCTGACTCCAGGCTGACCCTGTTGGAGATAGTAGGTGTGGTTTGGGATTGTGGAGACTGGAATGGGTGCCTTGTCTGAGGGAGGGGGCAGCAGCCACTTGGCACTAGTGAATGATCATATGGGTTTGGGGGCCCCGGATTGCCAGATTTACTGTTTTTTCCCCCCAACAAAAACTTCATAGTGATTTTGATGCAAAATTGTTTTTTTAAATGTTGGTAGTCGATTCAAATCATGTAAAAACACCATACCAAGTCAGTATAGGGTCAGGGCAGCCAAAACACATCTTTGACTGGCCCATCCAGCTTTTGGGCCATCAGTGTTTGGAGTCTTTGTTGTGAACAATGGATGGGTGACCATCTTTTACAAGTATCGTAGAGGGCATTTCTGCCTTGAGGATGGGTCAAGCCAGCTGGTATGTCATCTTCCATATATTCTCCACCCCCGAAGCGCTGTGCCTTTTTGAGTACCAGTTGCATTCATTCATTTGCCAAATATTTGTTACCTACTGGTTATGAGACATGGCTAAATGCTGAAGAGTAGTGAAAATGATAGATCCCATTCGTCTTTTTCTTTCAAGAAGCATATAGCCTAATATTGTACATAGAGCTTCAATAAGAGATGAAATAATTAGACCATAGTCCTTCATCAAGAATATATAAAGTAAGCTAACAGATACAGATGGAGCGTTCAGAAGGTGGGAAGGCTCCAAGTATAGTAGTAAATTTTGGAGGTTTATAGCAAATGAGTGCAAATTTTAGCATTTCCTATCTCACGATAACCAGTTTTAATATAGTAGAAGTCACTTCCTCCATTTATGGGACATATGTCTGTAACTTTTCTTTGGATAGATTGAAACATAAATTCTTGGGTAAGTAATTTTCCTTTTTTATCTGGCAATTTTTTTAAATTTAATTTTTCATCACTTAGACATGCTTGGGAAGGAAATCAGAGTCCCTATTCTGAGTACTTGGTGTGGGAGTAATAGAATTCTAAAAATTAGTTTTGCAGTGGTGATTAAGGGGTTGAATTAGACCTTAATTCAGTACGGTAGCCACTACCTACGCGTGGCTGGTTAGTACTGAAATGCGCTAGTCTGACTTGAGGTGTGCTGTAAGTGTAGAACACACACTGGGTTTTGAACACCTAGAAATAAGACTATAAAATAACTCTTCATAATTTTTATGTGGATCACATTTTGAAGCGATAGTAGTTTGGATATTTGGGTTAAATAACGTGTCATTAAAATGAATTTCAACAGTTTAAGAATTTGGCTACTGGGAAATTTAAAAGGACATATGTGGCTTACACTGTTGGCTCACATATTCCTTTGTTGTATAGTGTTGCAGTGGATATTTGACAGATTAAAAAGAAAGGTGCCTGGAAGGGAGTTGTGATGTATATAAAAATAGTATATCAAATTATGCAAAAAATAAAAGAGCTATATTTCTGTACATTTTTGGTCATATATTTGCAAGCTTTTTGTATTTACAAGATATTTTGTATTTCCTTTTGTCACAAAGATATAGTTTCGGTAGTATTTATTTACATCAGTAAAAAATTAAACAAAAGATGCTTGATTTTACTTTGTATTTGCAGTGGTTACCAGAAATATGATTGTTTAAAAATACAAGTCTGTAAGATAAAGTGTAGATCTCTGAAGTGCTGCACCAATAGTGACTAGTTCTGAACTCAGAGATAGGTTTGATGGCTTCATAAATACCATGTGTACCAGGAAAACCACATTTTTTTACTGTTTATTCAGTAATTGTGTTATGTGCAGGACACAGTTACTGCTTTATCTTTTGTTAACAAGTTGTGAATCTTCTCTTTGAAATTAAATTCTAAATCCAGCTTTCTGTTCATTGTTCACAGCGTCACAAGGGAGGTCTTTGGTGCGGAGGTAGAATGCTTTATTGCTTGTGTAGCCGCAGGCAGTATAGTGTTAGATGTAAATTGAATAACCTCGTGGAGATAAGGTTTTAAACATCAGTGGTCAGGTCTTCCAAATTTTGTGGAAAATGAACAAACTGGGCTGAAATGAATTAAAGGTCAACAGGACTAAATTTCCAGTTTGATGTTTTTAAAGGGGAGCGCTGATTATTAGTGCTTGCAGTTGTGTCAA